TTTATGTGAAGCATCGTAGAAGTGTTGACACCAGTACATACCAGCAACAGTAAAATCAGAGCGGACAAGACCTTAAACACTAAAAACGTCCGTGACAAGATCAGCCATAAGCTTGGCCAAGGTTATTTGAAAAAAACACTCAAACGGCACTCGATATAGATTTTCCAATTGCTGCAAAAACTGTTTGCATGCACAGAAACACTCGCCGCTGCATTTACACCCTAAATGGACCATGCCTTTCCATTCTAAACTGAAAAAAGCGCGTTCGGAAAATGTTATTTTTTTCGAAAAAATGGCCCCCAAAAATTTTTGGTCAGCACCCGCTGCAATTGCTGCAGAAAACTGTTTGCATGCAATGAAACACTTGCCGCTGCATTTCCACACCAAATGGACCATGCCCTTTCATTCTAAAATGAAAAAAATCGCGTTGGAAAATTTTCAATTTTTACTCTCAGGAGCAAAAACCATGGAAATTTGCGCGCATCAAGAATGCTGTATGTTTCCAGTGGTGCATTGGTGTTTTATGATAAATCATTCGACGCGTAATCACACGGCAAACACGATGGTGTAACTTAAAAAATTAACGCATGCACAGTATTTAAGTTATTCGAAAAAGCATACTCAAGCAGCACTGGATGTATATTTTTCAATTGCTGCAGAAACTGTTTGCACGCACAGAAACACTTGCCGCTGCATTTACACACCAAATAAACCATGCCCTTTCATTCTACTGGAAAGTGTGTTTGGAAAATTTTCGATATTTAGTATCAGAAACAAAACCATGGAAATTTGCGCGCATCAAGAATGCTGTATGTTTCCAGCGGTGCATTAATGTTTTATTATAGGTCATTCGACGCGTAATCGCATGGTGAACACGATGGTGTAACTTAAAATCTGTTGGAACACAATGAATACAATTTTGGAACAAACATTCAGAGGCTGTTGTTCTCAACATGCAAGCGAACACAAATCTCGCCGCTGCCACTTTGTTGCGGAAAAAGTCAAAATTCAGAAATGGACGTTTTTTCCTCTCAAATGAGGGCCAATATGAAATTCAGCACGAGTACAAAGCGGACGCATGTTCTGTGCCGGTTGACTCGTTTTGCACGAGATGGCAATTTTTGAACAAAATTTCACGTTGGTTGTATCTAACTGAAAACCTATCGGCACTGGGCAGTTTATGTCACACCATGGCTTGGGAAAGCAATTGTGCCTTAAAACAGGTGTAACGCAACACTTGTGGAGGATTTGAAAACGACCATTTTTTGGGTAGAAAACCGTTCCAAACGCATTTCTATCGAACCAATGAAAATAGAAGGCTGTGTTTACTTGTAAACGATGTAAAACGTTGTTAGCACTTGTTGACTACACCGTGTGTCCGGTGTCCGGTCCGGATCACCGGGTGATGACCAAAAATTTTGGGGTAGAATTTTTCGAAAAAATGAATATTTTCCAAACGCGTTTTTTCATTTCAGAATGAAAGACCATGGTAAATTTAGTGTAAATGCAGCGGCAAGTGTTTCTGTGCATGTCTACGGTTTCTGCAGCAATTGCAAAATCTTCATCGAGCGCCGTTTGGGAGTGCTTTTTTTCTAATAACTTAAAAACTATGCATGCGTTAATTTTTTAAGTTACACCATCGTGTTCGCCGTACGATCACGAGTCGACTGACTTATAATAAAACATGATTGCACTAATGGAAACATGCAGCATTCTTGATGCGCGCCAAATTCCATGGTTTCGTTTCTGAGCCCCGCTCCGTTTGAAAGCAGATTGCCGGTGCAAACGATACACAATGGTGGAACAAACATTGAGTGGCGTTGTTGTCAATATGCAAGTGAACACAACTCTCGCCGCGGCCACTTTGTTGCGAAAAAGTCCAAATTCAGAAACGTACGTTTTTTGTCTCAAATGAAGCCACCATGAAAATCACCTCGTGTACAAAGCGGATGCATGTTATGTGCCGGTTGACGCGTTTTGCACGAGATGGCCATTTTTGAACAAAATTTCACGTTGGTTGTACCTTACTGAAAACCTATCGGCACTGGACAGTTTAGGCCACACCATGGCACGGGAAGGCAGTTGTGCGTCAAAACAGATGTAACGCATTACCTGTGCAGAATTTCAAAAGGGGTAGTATTTGGGGTAGTAAAACGTTCGAGACTCATATCTCTCGAACCAATGAAAATAGAAGGCTGGTTTTACTTGCAAGCGATGTAAAGCGATATTAGCCCATCTTGACTACATTTTTGATCAACGGGTGATGACATTTTTGGGGGGAACATTTTTCGAAAAAAACGAAAATTATCCAACCGCGATTTTTTCAGTTAAGAATGAAAGGGGATGGTCCAGTTAGTGTGTAAATGCAGCGGCAAGTGTTTCTGTGCATGTCTACAGCTTCTGCAGCAATTGCAATATCTGCATCGAGCGCCGTTTGAGGGAGTTTTTTTGAAATAACTTAAAAACAATACATCCGTTAGCTTTTTAATTTACACCATCGTATTGGCCGCGCCATTACCCGTCGAATGACATATCAAAAAACATGATTACACCACTGGAAACATACAGCGTTTTTGATGCTCGCCAATTTCCATGGTTTTGTTTCTGAGACCCGCTCCGTTTGAAAGCAGATTGCCGGTGCAAACTATACACAATGGTGGAACAAATATTAATTAACGTTGCTGTCAACATGCAAGTGAACACAAATCTCGCCGCAGCCACTTTGTTGCGACAAAAGTCAAAATTCAGAAACGGAGGCTATTTCGTCTCAAATGAGGGCCAATATGAAATTCAGCACGAGTGCAAAGCGGACGCATGTTCTGTGCCGGTAGACGCGTTTTGCACAAAATGGCCATTTTTCAACAAAATGTCACGTTGGTTGTACCTAACTGACAATCTATCGACACTGGACAGCTTATGTCACAACATAGCACGGGAAGACATTTGTGCATCAAAACAGATGTAACGCGACACCTGTGCAGAATTTGAAAACCGTCGTTTTTTTAGTAGTAAAACGTTCGAAACTCATGTGTCTTGAACCAATGAAAATAGAAGGCTGCTTTGGCTTGTAAACGACGTAAATCGATTTTACCACCTGTTGACTACATTTTTTGATCACCGGGTCATGACCAACAATTTTGGGCGTGATCATTTTTTCGAAGCAACTGAAAATGTTCTCAACGCGATGTTTTCAGTATAGAATGAAAGTGCATGGTCCATTTAGTGTGTAAATGAAGCGGCAGGTATTTTTGTGCATGCAAACAGCTTCTACAGCAGTTGCAAAATCTATATCTAAGATAGGTTAAGTTCATCAAGTGCATGGCAAGTGGCAATAGGAATTGTGCAAGAATCAGTAGCTCACAACTGCTGCTGTGATACAGACATGTTATAGGTGATGTAAGGCCTCTTTAGGTTAGGCATAGGCTACTGTCATGGGGTAAGCATTGTTGCTTTGTAAGGAACAGTGGCAAAATGTTTGCTTTCCCTGACCCCATCTTAACAGAACCCAGAAGCATTTCTATTGTGTTTGAATTAGTGATGGACTGATGTGTAGGATTCTAAGGTTTTTTTGTTTGAGTGTTTGATGTTTGTTGGGTTGTCTGTTGTTATTTTGTTGTTGAATTCCTTTGCTTTGTTTTGTTTTGAAAGTCCTGTGGAAAGGAATTGAAAAGTGCAGCATCAAATTATTGGTGTTAATAATTTGTTATGCTCATTATACTGTCACGAAATTACTATCCATTAACATGCGTCCGGTTGGCCGGCTAGATACCCTTCGCTCGGGTGGGTGGGGGGGGGGGGGGGGGTCAATTTGACTCTCCTTCTGAGATCTGGGGAACTAAGAAAGCTAGAAACATCAAATTTACAGCGTGTCTTGACCTATATGTGACCTCACTTAGGTTAAGGTTTCAGCTTCCTAAGTCATGACCTTCAGGTTGAATAAGGTCAAACAAGGTCAAATTCCAGATTGGTCTCCAAAACGCCCCCAGGACCTAGGCAACTGTCTCTGAGCAAAAGATCACAAGCCCATTTGAAGTCATTGACCTTGTTTGACCCGTTGAAGGTCATGGTGAGCAAAATGGTTCAAGACTGCTCTTCGTTTTGCATTTGAATAAGCGACAAAGATTACGCTAGGCGGTATGTTCCTAAAACAGAACGTTCGACCCGGGTCATCTTAGGTCAATGGCCTGTTCTGACCTCTAAGAAGTCAACTGAAGATGTATAATGCAGTTCCTGCTGTCAATAAATTCGAAAGGAGCACCAGAAACTATGCCATACGGCGAGCCCTAGAGTGATAAATCAGGTTGGTTTTGACCTTGGTCTAACCAGCATACCTGGCTTTAGGACAACGTAATTTGCTCTTTCAATATTTGTGGTGCCTAAGAAAGCATCTCAGGGATGTATGTCTTCGTCAAACACTCCGTTGTTGTATCAGATTGAACGATTCCCCATAAATTGCCTCCGCTGAAACTATGGGCTGACTTTGACCTGTCAAAGGTCAGCGACCTTACAAGGTACATCTAACATTTGTATGCCAAATGACCCGCTATGCAATTTGCTACAGCTATGCAAAATTGGGCGTGGCTTCGCCGCGCCGTTCAGAGACCATTCGGGAAAAGCCCTCAGGGGGGGGGGGGGTCAATCTGCCCCCCCCCCCGCGAGCGCGTGTTAATGTATTCTGTTTCACTTTAATGGCCTAAAATGTTAAAAAACGAAATAGTTTTGTCAGGTTCGTGATATTGGGTCCATGCCAACCTGAAATAGATGTCTTTGTTCTCTGAAGCATCAGTCACGAGTTCATTAGTTCCATCTTTTGTGAACTGATTTTTTCACTCCCGCACGGTCTTTTTGCGATGGAATTTTTCACTCCCACCATAGTTCAAAAGCGATTCTAGCTCCCTGCTGTTTAGTATTTATATCTACGTAACAGACACTTTTAGCACTATCTGTACTAAAAACCGTTGCCCCTCGTAGCTGCGATACGCACTAAATTTTCTCGAGGATGTGTTGCAAAACACGTACCAAATATTCTCGAGGATGGTCGGGTTATTTTGAAATGGTAGCATATAATGAAGTTAATCTGACGCTCTAAAGATAAAATAGGACGAGAGGCACACGGGAACTTGTCTGTGGCAGCGTAGCTTTAGAGGGCCTTGTACGGCATCATTTATTATCGCGGGCACCGCTGTCGCTACCCATGTGGGGCACAAAAGCCCTACTAAAGCCGACGGCACTAATGGGAGCATTTTATTTCGTTGTGTGACATCTCCACCGTTCCCGTCATACTTGGTTATCGTGTGGATAGTGGATTGTTTATCCCGTTTCAACAGGCTTGTCACCCAAAATGCAGCATTTACGACAGCATATGCCGTTAATCAAGATTTTTAACAGATTCTCAAGTTCTCAACAACAGTCAAAAATGAGGCATAGCCAAAGCTCTAAGCCTGAATGGAAGAGGTGAGCATTATTAGTGTGGCAGCATGTTTTGGAAGTTTATGTGCTGATTGTAGCCAAAATCCATGGGAAATTAAAACATTGAATCACAAGCATATGAGAAAGTTTGTAGCATTGTGGTGTATGACAAAAACATCTTTGTTGTTCATAGTTGGCACAACCTTTATCATATTCTGTGTTGCTGAATCAGGCCAGTCATTTATCATTGCATGTTTTTCATTGAAACTGAATTAGCAACTTTTTATAGGCAGCAAAATCTGTGCATAATAGATAATTAATGGGGTCCTTGTAATGTTTGCTATGGATAAGCAATCACATGTCTTCAGCCATTCAAAGAATAAGAAAGTAATCATACGAAGCCCAGGGGCACTATGGGAGCCTTTCCGGGAAGTATTATCTGACCAAGAAGCTGACAAGACATCAGTGGTTGATGGTTCTATGGCACTTGAGGTAAGAATATCAAGTTTTGTGATCAGCTGCACAGTATGGTTAAGTGTATCAGCATGACAGCATTGACTAATCTGTGTTGTAAGGAACAATGAAATCATAGGTTGTCATAGTTGGAGAACACAGGTGTGGATGCTTTCAAAGTGATAAGAATACCAAGGATCACAAGGCAATTTCCCAAAAACCATCCTTAGTATGTTACCTTGCACACATGCCAGCAGAATGTCATGGGAATGGCAGGCATTGCTGGTCGTGGTTGGGTGTGTCAGTTATGCTCTCCTGATTGTGTGCTCATGAAGCTTATATTTTGTACAGGTTAACTTACAGTTAGCTTTGCCTTGCACACTGTGCATACTCAAGGACATGCTCTAAGCTGACTAAATTCAAGCATTCATTGCTCTCATTAGCACCCTGTCCTTACTCAATGTCCCACCATTCATGTGCTGCCACCCACCACCCACTCCTGGCACTACCCTGACTGTGCACCCCTCCATGCCCCTGGCAGGGCATCGGTGCGGCGGCGCGCTTCTGGGGCGTGGCGCCGCACGAGGCGCACGAGCGCGCTGCCGATACGGTGACGCCGCTCTGGCGGCTCGATTACGGCCGCCAGCTGACGATGAAGCAGGCGCGCGTGCGGGCGCTGCTACGGCAGCTGGCTGGCCGGCTGGTCGGCAGCGCCCCGCCAGCCAACGGGTGCGGGTCGAACGCGCTGCCCTTCCCGCTGGATAGGATTGTGCCGTCGGTGAGGAGCGGGGCTCGGGCGGTGCCGGTGTGGGAGGGGGGGGGGGGAGGGGTAAGTTATACTTTCATTTTTAGTTTTTGTTCACTGTGTTTGTGCTTTGACTATCAGGGCCAGAACAAAGAGAATAACATGGCTATTCTATAAAGCATAACGCGGTTTGATTGATACCATGAATGCTCTCATGTTCGTGAAGAATCTCACGATTCATAACGTGCTCGTGTTGGGCTGTTGATGAACATGAATTCTTCGTAGAACTATGTCTTATGTGTGCCTTCCGTCAGCAGCCGCAAGTAGACGGGTACAGAAACAAGGAAGAGTACAAAATTGGCGAGGGCGTGGACGGCGACCCGAAGACGGTGGGATTCATATTCTCCAGCCCGGCGCACGGGCCGGCCCTCTGCCTCCCCGGGGACCGGCTCAAGAACTGCAAACCGCAGCACGCCCGGCTCGCGCTGGTGAGCGCTCGGCGCCGATCAGACTGCTGCTGCGGCTGCATGCCATCCTGGGGGGTGACCACGTCACGTAAAATGGCTGATGCGACTAGAATAACGGGAGCGTTTTATAAGCGGCATTACCCACAGCAGACGCTCTGTGCCGGTTCCTACCCCGAGCTACGTGTTGCGATGGATGACAGCGGGTGAGAACAGGATGTATGGTTGGGTATTGGTGCTGCTGGCCTTGTCAGGTGCTCCGTTACCTGAGAAGTTCCACGGTAGCGCCGATGGGTGAATTAAAACTTGTTTTGGCCTCTGTGCATCACTTTGCATCGTGGGATTACATCTGCATCTTTTGGTATTTTGGCATCTATATCTTTTTGCGCATGATCTGTCTAAGCATACCATACCTGTCCGTTCCTATAGTAAATAAATTCCATATGGAAGTCACCTGCCATCCATTCACCTTCTTTGGTCCGACTGCACTCATCTGCTCCATCTGCGCCGCCTGCCCCCCCCCCCCCCCCCCCTTCTCTCCCGCGGCGTCAGTACCGCCAGTCTCTTACCGCCTGCCTCGGTCCGTCGGTGCCTGTCTGCGCCCGCGCCACCCGCACCACACAGCGTCGCCTCCGCCCGGCCGCAGGCGTTCCAGGACTTCGTACGAACGTCACCGCTGGCGGCCTGCAGCCGGCTGGACGACGGCGGCCACTGGCGGCTGCTGATGGTGCGCAGCAACCGCGCCGACCAGCTGCTGGCCGCCGTCACCTTTCACCCGCAGCAGCTGCCGGTGGCAGCCGTCGAGGCAGAGCGCCAGAGGCTGCGCGAGTATTTCTCCAGCGGGCTGGGCGCCGCCTGCGGTCTCCATTCGCTGCTTTTCCAGGAGTGGTGAGCTGGCACTGATGCGCGGCATGTCCGGGGATGTACAGCTGGCAGGCTGTCCGCTGACTGTCCGCCGATGGTCTGGGAGAGTTCTGAAGGACTGGTCGGAGAGGGTGAGCGGACGACTTTCCCATTTAATCGTATGAAGCGCTCACTTACGATGCGAATCTTGTGTGCTGGGGGAGGTGGGGACGCGAGTTAGAATGCAGCTCTGAAGCCACGCAGGACACGTCTTCAGGCTTGTGGTTGACGTTTGCTTGCGTTGGACAGTTTAAGCAGCCGCGACTTAGTGCACACCTGTTTAATTGTTCCCCAGAAGGTCTTCATGTCGGGCGTCCGGCCTCACCCCTCACGTGTGGTGACGGGAGACCCCTGACCCCGTGACCTCCGCTCCGTTTCAGCCCTCACGCACGGTGTTCGGCGGAGCAGGCTCCGTACCAGTCGCTGTTCGGACCGGGCGTGCTCGAGGACCGGCTCGGCCCCGTACGCTTCCTTGTGTCGCCCGATTCGTTCTTCCAAGTGAACTGCGCGGCGGCCGAGGTGCTGTACGGCGTGGTGCGGCGGCAGGCGCGCCTCACCCCCGCCTCCGTGCTGCTTGACCTCTGCTCCGGCACAGGCAGGTCCACGCGGCGCGACGCGGCGCCGTGCCGCACTTCACGTATGAGAGGTGGAGGTGGGGCAGTGTGCCCGGTGGGGTATCCCGAACGTGATGCGCTTGGGTGCGTCAGGCGGGGTGTGAGAGTGGGTGCTGTGCACAGGTTCTGTCTGCGGTCGCAGTGGGTTTTGGTTTGTGGGAGCGGGTGTCGTCCCGATGGTTTGGCAGGCCTCGCGGCTGGATGTTGTGCAGAGTTGAAGATGGCGGCCGTGGGAGCACCCTAGGACGTGACTCATGGAGGCCAAGGATAAGCGCGCTTCACCTCCCACGGGCAAAGAGGCCTATATCAGTGTTCTTTTCGCGGACTGGTGGGTATCCATGGCTTTTGACGATATGCATGGCCTTAAGACGTAGATCGGCAACATATGCGAGCCGCTTCAGGAGCACGGCAACCCGCGGCTGGACGGCCGACACCGGCAGGCTGGTCAGCTCGGGATGCTGTTGCCCTGGGTTAGCCGCCTCCGCGCGCTGCTGATGTTTCGGTGTCGCGTGTGAACGCCCTCCTGCCCGTCTCAGGTCCGGTCAGTCTGCTGATGGCGCGCCACTGTCGCACCTGCGTCGGAATCGAGGCCTCGCGCAGTGCCGTGCGCGACGCCAATGAGAATGCCGCGATGAACAACATACAGAACGTCGAGTTCATCGCGGGGCGGATAGAGAAGGTGGGTGCCAGACGGGTTGCCAGATTCTTCGTCGTGGTCCATTCCTCTTCGAGCTTTCCATGTCTCCGGCTCGATGCGTATTGAGTGCATGTCCGAATTCGTTGGCCAGCGCGATTCTCCTCAATTATTCAATTGACATGTCAATGATGTGGGTTTACGCGTTATATTTTCAGCATTCTCGTTGTTTGTAGCTGCTGATGTGCACGATTTTCTCCCGCAGAAATCAATCACTGGTGTAAGAATGAGTGATTGTGTGTGTCTCGTTCAATCAACGTTGATGTATCAGTGAGCTTCTCCTCACGACAGTGTGTGACGTTATCTAGCATGCGGGTCTCTGACGCCGTTCTGACGTGCACTCCCTGTCGGTTGCTCACTGGCGGGCGGCCACATTCCAGGAGTTGTCACCGGTCGTAGCGGATCTCGATCTCTGCTCCGACATGGTGGCTGTCGTCAACCCGGGCCGAGACGGAGTAGGTGAGTGGTCGGGGCGGGGCTGGGGGCCGCCGAGGCGGGACTTGTGCAGGCGTGAAGCACCCGTTGCCGCTGCTCCGTGTGCTGTGCGAGGCGTGAAGTTGGGGATGGGCAGCTGGAATCGTATCCGCCGGCGATGATCGTACCGTTGTGCCGTAACGTCGTATCACTGCAAAGTGTGGACCCTCACATGCCCTGCTGTCGCTGACGGGGCCGCAGTAGCGCGGCGGTGTGCACGTGAAGACAGCAGCTGAGTCACGTGCTGCCTCCCCCCCCCCC